CCCCCCCGTTAACACTAGTGTCACTTCTGAAAGTAAAACCACCCGAAAGCTATTTTCTGGACCGGACGAGCTACTGCACTACATTATTGTGTTGACAGGCGGCGCTTCCGCCTCGTACCCTGGACATTGTGTGCCCCCATGCACAGACTACCCTGGGTACAAGATCGCTTCCACCAGGAAATGAGGACGAAACATTCGCCAGGTGAGCGGAAATTCTCGAGGTAAGTCTCTTACTTGAGATATTTACAGGCTATTACTCCAAAGGGCCTATTGTAAGAGTTTCTTGGGTTTAGAAATTTGCTCGCACGCCCTCTGAAGGTTGATGTTAGATGTTCCTGGGCTCATACCTGAGACCAAAGACAGTTCGTATTTCGACATGATTTGTCTTACAGACTGTGATCATATTTTCGACGATTTTGATGATTTGAGAATTGGTAAATCGGCTTGAACTGTCGCTGTTGCAACAAAAGGGTATCACTTGCGTTTACAAAGCAATGTTAACTTCACCGTGTTACTAATAATTACAACACTTACATGTTTACAAAACAATGCTATGCTATTTGGTAATATACAAAATATAGAGAATTTATATCAACAAACGATGTTCTCACGTCCTACGGATGCAACAAAGATCCAGTGTCCAGGAACTGCACACCAGACTAAACTGGAAATACCTGACCCAACGGGCATTTGTGTCATGGTTTTTAAATGTATCAACGGGCTTGTCCCAACATACTTGGATGCCACATTTGTACATAATCACCGGTTACATAACTACAACACCAGACAAACTTCACTACTGCACAAATCTAACTACACAACTACAGCTGGTCATAGCACATTTGCTCTCCGAGGCACGACACACTTCAATACACTTCCAGCAGACCTAAGACATGTACCTACACTATCTCAGTTTCATATGAAACCTGACCTCTGACCTCCATTCCTGATTTTCGTTTTTTTCGACCTTTGGACGGCTAGGAGTTTGAGTATAGGACTATGACTCTGTTTTGACGCATCAAACTTTTATGATTACTGTATTTTGTCCACTCTTGTCTTACTGTAACAATGTCTTGTGTAAGTTTGCTGGGCCCCCTTGGAAAACAGCTAATGTAAGCTAAATGGGGCTACCCAGCGGTCTTATGATGAAATAAATAAATAAATGACGAGTTAACTGATAAACAAGGTTTTTTAAATTTACTTGCGGATGCAGTGTATCAAAACTCAAGTTCTGACAAAAAAAACTACCTAAGGTCGTTCCTTTTCCGGTTTTTCCCCACTACGTCATGTCGCCATTGTTCTGTAGTAGGTATTGGCTAAATTGGTCAGTGAACCTTATACAATGCATTCCGCACGTCTTTGTGAGACACAGACTTATTATATGTTTTCAGAGGCGTTCATGTGTGTGTGTGTGTGTGTGTCTGTGTGCGTCTGTATGTGTGTGTGTGTGTGTGTGTGTGTGTCTCTGTGTGTGTGTGAGTATGTGTGTGTGTGTGGGGGGGGTATGGGTGTGGGTGTGGGTGTGGGATGGTTGTGTGTGTGTGTGTCTGTAAACACGATAACGAACGGAGGCTTAATGGGATTGACTTGATATTTATTAAGTAGGTAAGTCTTGATAAGACCTCGAAATGATTAGATTTTGGATCCCCTAGCGGCTTCTTATGGTACTACAGCTGAACTTCTGGTTTTGATATCTTAGGACCTAGACGTATTATGGTCACGAAATTTGAATAATAGGTACCTCATGTTTTGGGGAAGAAGCGACTCGAGTTTGGTCCCCCTAGCAGCTTGCTATGGAACTGTAGTTGTGTTTGTTTAATTATACACAATAGAGGATAACTCAAGAACCGGTAGGCGGGTCGTCCTGATTTTTGGTATGTAGGTAGCTTACGCGATGTTTGACATAAATATGTGGTAATGATGCAAGTATGGATGTAATTTGCATAATTTATGAGAAAGGATATAAATCAGCTGTATGACATGAAAGGATTATTTAAGCTTTTGGCATATGTAATTGAGAACGAGAGAGAAACAAGGCATATATTGATTATGTAAAGAAAGCTGTCAGGACTTAATTTGCATACTTAAGGAGGAAATGTTCCAATTCAACAATGGTAAGTTCCTGGAATTTCATACCATTTCATTTGGGTATTTAAAGTTAACCCTTAGCCCTTCAGAAGCCCCAGTGCTTACTTACTAATCTAACTATTAGGCCACCACAATTTTTATGGATGACTTCCTCCGCAGACTCCAAATATTATGCGATAGCGCGAAAAAAATACAAGGCGGGCCAAAAAAACAAGATTCCTACATGTTGTACATTTTCAAATTTTGACACCATTAACATTGTTAAAGCCCCAGTGCCACGGGGGATAGCAGTGTTTTTCTTCTTGCATTATTTGTTAGACTATCGGTGGTACTCATTAAACATACCCCGCGCGGCGCCCATCTTGCGGCCATTTTTAACACAGCGCACCAGGATAGTATCATCCCCCCCCCCCCCTGACAGCGCGCCAAGAGAGTTGTGTTTTCTTGAGGCCGGCTAATTTCGTGGATGACGTCATGTGACGTCACACGGGGCACGCCCTCGAAGTGGAGCCAAAATAGCCGAGTCAGAATTTCATTCAGGCGACGAGCGCGCGGAGGGCGATCCATCGCCGCCGCAATCGCCACCGCGCCAGCCATTTTTACCGTACGAATTTGAGCCTGAACCAGACGAAAGCGATTTAGGGTCCGAGGAGTCGGAAGATGTCGACAATGAGGGGCGTAAGGCCAATTTGAACTGGTGTGTACATACGCTAGCGCGCCCGCCCTCCCACGCCATGTTTTGTTTGTTGACTTACGTTCGCAGTGTTTCGCTGTCTGTACAGAATTGATGGATTTACGGGGGATTGAAATAATCTATACCCTTAAATAATTGATGTAGGGCCCTTGTCTGCTCCATATTTTGTAATAACTTGTCAGCAAATCGATTTCTACCCACCCCTACACCAGCATTGTTTGGAGTTCTATGGACAAACCTTTATAAACTTGACATGGGCATAATTCTCGTTGGCGGTTGCCGTCCCAGAGCATTGAAATGTTCATGTGCTGAATGTTCATGCGTAGAGAATAATGTGTTGTGTATTGTTAATAAATTTTTTCGTTAGATACTACATCTACATTTTCCTGTGGTGAAATTCGAGCTACTAGTGATGAAAGGGGAAATAGTATAAATACACACATCTGTTCTAAAATGTGGTGTTTCAGGTGTTCATGTGGTAACTGCAGAATAATGCCATCTGCAGCAGAGTGTGTCTGTTGCCACGAAATGAGCCCCATAGATGCAAAAAGGCACGAGGGAGTCCATCCAGCCCCTAGGTGCATCACTATGCACCCAGGTTTTCAATCTGTATGCTTGGATCCATGGGCACTGCAGTGTGCATACTATCAATACAGACAGGAGTTTGGCCCAAGTGAAGATACAACCCATGAGTAAGCATTATGAATCAAACACAAAGCAATCAATCAATCAATCATTAGAGACTGAGTAGTTGTAATAGATTTGGTTACAAAATAATTCTTTTGTTATTTATTACAGAAATTTGACTGACTTATGTGAAGTCATTACTAACTTGTCATGAAAAAGCTTCTGTTAAACAAGGATGGGGAAAAGGTTCATGTGTACAAGGTCAGATTCAGAAAGTTCAAGACATTTTGCACAGTTTAAGAAGTAAATCAAGACTGTACATTTGGTACATGGGTGACTAAGGAAACAAAATGTAGCTGGAGGATTTCTGTAAAGTTGACTCCTCCTACATATATGTGTTAGGAACGGACTTGAACTGGACTGTCACCATAAATATGGCATAGTAAAATCAGTATGTAACGTGCATTGTGTAGAATTTCATGTTGTTTTTTTCATGTGGCACTGGTGGTGCATTAATGGGTATGTTGTCATACTTTATGTGCCTATAAGTTCACTGTCAGCTATTACAACATCCATTTCTCACTGAAACAACTTTTAAAAATGAAAGTTTTCAATCATTGTGCACATGGTTTTGATTCAGTGGGAACATCACATATATCCAGCCACCATCACATATAAAAGGAACAAATACATCGCTGGATCAAAGTAAAAAGACAACACATTAAATCAGAGCTTTTGTTTTGTATTCTGCCTTCATATACATCTGCCATTCACATTCCGGCATGGCAACTTTGCCCTATTTGAAAGTTGACCACTGTCAAAGGGCAACAGAATTTCTTGTTGTTACCTCCATGAAATGTGTCATGGAGGTTATATTTTCAGTTGCGTTTATCTGTCCGTCTGTCCGTCTGTCTGTCTGTCTGTCTGTTGGTCAACAAAATAACTCAAGAACGCCTGGATGGATTGGTTTCATACTTGGTGTGTTGGTAGGGTGTGACGAAAACTAGAAATGATTAGATTTTGGTCCCCCTAGTGGCTTCCCTTGGTACTGCAGCGCCACTTCCGGTTTTGATATCTCACGATCTGGACATGCTAGGGTCGTGAAATGTTGATGGAAGGTAGCTCTCGTGCTTGGGAAAAAGTCATATGAGTTTGGGCCCCCTAGCGCCTTGTTCTGGAACTGCAGGGCACTTTCTAGCGAAATGTTTAAAAGCCAATAAGTCCAGACAGGAACAACATATTTTCATTTTTTTTGGTGTGCAGGTAGCTGAGAGAGAGATGTACATAATTAAATGCAAGTTATGCAAATGAGGACTTTATTTGCATAATTAATGAGGAAATTCTATAATTACAGTGTTTTACATTATACTACTTACATACATGTAATGTATGCAACCTGTGGCAGGCGGAACTTCAACAGATACTAATTATGCAAATGATGACCTAATTTGCATAATTAATGCGAAAATTCTATGATTTCGTAATGGTGAATGATGACAATGTCATACTTGGGACATCTGTAAGTTAATAAAAAGTTAACATACATCACGATGCATATATCATGTTAATGCAGAGGTCATTTGCACAATTAAAGAAGAAATTTGCATTTACATATCAAGATCATATTTTAATGGAGGTATTAGCTCTCTGAATTCTAGTTTTTTTTAAATCAGGCGAAAATCAATGCGCGCGCAGATGCCATCCATAAGAATTACTTGCTGTGACCTTAGGACAATATAATAGTTTGCTTCACAATCGACCGTTTTTACTAATGACAGATAATTAACGTCATCACCATTAGATAAATTAGAAATCTCCAATAAAGAAGAAGTGCACACTTTTCACAAATAAACGATGTTGGTTATGGGCATAGCACATATGTACTCTTGTTTGCTAGGACAGTCATGTAAATTCTTATGTACAATATTGATTCATTTTGTTTTTACAGTTAACAGGGCGAACATAAACGGATTTCCAGTTGGCTGACATCTGGTCGAGAACAAGCAAGACAAATTAAGCAACAGAACCAGATGTAATTCTTGAAAGGTCATAAACTGACTTCAAGTTAGGTTTCCTGTCAAGAAAGGATTTATCTAAATAAAACTATGGATGCAAGTCATAAAAATCTTCTAAGGAAGCATCGTGCAGAGCTGGTAAACAACATCAAAGACGTGGATTCGGTCCTGGACCATCTGGTGTCTGAAGGTGTCATAGAAGACGAGGAAGAGAAGGAGATCAAAGACAGGGAAGAAGTCAAGGCACAAGTCCGGAAACTCCTGACGATTCTTGCGGATAAGGAGGGCAACTCTTTCCACTCCTTTTGCACGGCGCTAGAGAACAGTCGACACAAACGGCTCGCCGAGTTACTCAAGGGCGACGGTACAAAGAAAGGTAAGAACAGGTTTATCTTGTGTTTATCTGTGTAAAATATCTTCAGTATTCACTTTTGACATCTCTGTTTATTTATTATCAAAACCAAGGTGGCAACAACTAAATTCCATTTGATCGCTCACTAAAGATGAGGTTGACCCGATGGCTACAGAGGCAGGACAGAATGCTCTCAAGTACCTCAGAATGAAACGTGCCATATTATACATTAACATATATACATGTATTGAAGTTAGATTACTACACTAGTAGAGATAGTTTATAGTTATTTGGTGTTATTTGCCATACAGGTATCAAATGCAATTGTTGCGCAATAAACTTGACTATTATAATTAGATTAAAAGAAAACATTCATGTCTTTTTTTACAGGAGAGCGCGTGTTCATCATCCATGCAGGCGAAGACAAGGCTCAGTTTGTGGAACCACTTGTCCAGGCTCTTCAAGATGAAGGCCTGTCTCAACAAGACATCTTCTACGACGTCTTGTCCATTGAAATTGGTGACAGCATCCGCGCCAGGATCATGGCCGCCATGGCCAGTGAGAGTCTGGAGCTCGTGGTGACGGTGTTGAGTCAAAACTCGCTAAACCACAAGTACTGGCCCAAACTGGAGCTGGAGACAGCCCTCAGGCACAACAAGCAGCTCTTCCCCGTCTGGCTGGACGACAACCAGGATGACTTCCAGGAGTTTAACGGTCTGGTCGGTAAATATTGCCCGACGTTAAAGTCACTCCGAGGGTACAAGGTGCCACTGGGTAACGCCAGGGAGGAGGTTAAGAAAGTCGCGATGGAGATAGTGTCCAAGCTAATGAAAACCAAAGCACCAGGTATGTGGACTATGTAAACCAATGCCCTTTATTGTAAATTTTTAATGACAATGTTTTCCCTTCTTCCTGCTTGCAGCTCTACTTGGTACTCATAAAGCAGCGAAAGATACAAAGATTACGAGAAAAACCGGTTGAAAAAGCTGCGAGGAAGATGAAGATTTGAAAATAAATATATCTTCTTTTTAATTACCAACTATCGAAATGTGCATTATTATTCAACATAATGATGCCTTAGTCTTGATAGGCATTTACATATGAAAACATATGAGTATCCATTTCCCCATGTGATGATCTGCCCATTTTGAACCGATTTTCCAGGGTCAGATGTGCCACAGAATTTGACAAACCAGAGAAAACGAAAGCTGGAAGGACCTTCAGGACAGACGTTAAAGCATCCAAGGCCCGGTGATTTTTCTACTGACGAAGAATCACCATTGAAAGGTAACAGAGAATTTATTGCACAAAGCAAACTATGGGTCACCATTATATACTGTAAACACAAAATAGACCAGGATATCACATAGGTTTATCGAGTTATATGTTACCAGTCTCTGAAATCTAGTCAAGACACTTGTATCATTGCAAACAAGAGTTCCACGATCTCATACCTTCGCCAAATGGTGTTAACCCTTCCGGTTGACGAATTATACAATTTTAATCATTGATTTCGCAAATAAGAGCCTCTTTTGCATGATTACATCAGTTGATTATATTCTCCACCCAATGGCAGCCTTATCTTAACAAAAAAGGCTATTCAAGATACTTCCTCATAAATTATGCAAACGAGGTCGTAATTTGAATAAATTAGACAAACAGACAAACGGACAGACGGACAAACGATACTGAAAACATAGCCTTCTTGGCGAAGGTAAAGAAGACTAATACCATTCTGTACACTAATACCATTCTGTATTGGTATAATATGAGATGACAGTTCTTATATAATATTCGGTCAATGTTATAACAGCGGAAGACTCAGGGGACGACACAGCTGTCCTCTCGCCCACGGCGACAACCACAAATCGTCTGAAGGCGTCAGACGGAGGACAACCATTAACAACTGCCGTACAACAAGTCAGCATTGAAAAAGTTACTGAGAAGCAGGAGGAAGAAGGTGAGGCGAAAAAAGCGAAAAAACTCGGCACATTGTGCCCTACTCTTCCGTACATACATTTTCTTCATTTTCCTGCACATATACATCTAAATGTGAACGCTCATTATCTAAATTTCGTGCTTGGCGATAGCAATTTCATCATGTTTTAGCACGTAGTTAGAACCTTGTCCAGTCCAACACTCTTCCAAAATTTCACTTTTTTTTACTTCACTTGAAACCTAACAATTACAAATACAAAACCTTTTTAACAATAATAATATGTACAGACAGACAAGTTCATCATTGCAAAGGTAAACTTGATACGTTTTTTTTTTTCTGCAGGATGCGAAAAGATCACGCCTCTAGAGGCCACGAACCCGTCTCCTGAACCTCAACAACTGAAGGACATACCGCTGCGCGGCTACCAAATGGAGCTGGCAATACCAGCACTAGAGGGACGGAACACCATCATCTGTGCACCTACCGGGAGTGGCAAGACTCGCGTCGCTATCAAAATCACTCGGGAACATCTAGAAGGTTCTACAGTCAAAGGTGACTAGTCCATAAATTTCAGTTTTTCCCATGAAGGTAGTAGTTGCAGAAATGTCCAGAAAGACAGCAGTAGGCTACAGTCAGGCTTCCAGAAGGGGTAGGTTACGTTGGGGCTAGCTTCAAATCCATACCTTGCTCTCACTCTATACTTTGCACAATGCAATTATTACCTCCATGAAAAATGGAGGTATTGTGTTTGGCGTGTCTGTCCCTGTGTGTGTGTGCCCGTGTGTGCCTGTGTGTGTGTGTGTGTGTGTGTGTGTGTGTGTGTGTATGTGTGTGTGTGTGTGTGTGTTTGTGTTTCCGCATATTTGTAGTCAGCATAACTTTGTAACCTTTGGGTGGATTGTAATGATATTTGGTATGTGGGTAGGTGTTGGGTAGGCAAAGGTCAAGGTCACATATATTGGGCCACCTGGTGGCTGACCTTGGTACTGCAGCAGAACTTCCTTTTTATCTTTTGTCCTAGTTTACAGTTGGACACATGTGCATGTACCACAACTTCTGTATATCTCAGTCTTTGTGGAAAACCCATTTAACCTGATTGCTTCCCATTTTTTATTCCCAAAGGGGGTGCAGGCGTAAACGTACAACGGCGAGTGGTGTTCTTGGTGAACAAAGTACCTCTGGTTAAGCAGCAGTACAGCGCGTTCGTGGAGTATCTGAGCCGCAAGTGAGTACCACTGATGCGATCGGACACGGGCTATACACCGATTGTTTTCTTTTGTATCTTTTTAAACTGGAATGTTTTAGGATATATGTATATAGACTTTGCATGACTATGTGTGTATAGTCTTGATACAACTTTAAGCATATAACCTGTATATTGATTCTTGTTAAATTTTGACTGACCCTGACCTCTTAGCTAATGATTTTCCTAATGAATAGTGACCATGCGCCAGCAGGCCAATTTGAGTCTTTGATGAAGTAACAAAGGTTTGAATCAATCAACCAACCAACCAATGAATTAATCAATCAATCAATCAGTTAAACAACTAATCAATGACGTTGTCTCCACCCCGCACATCTGTTTTCCCTGCGTTGCAAAAAGATACAAAACCGAAAGTTCAACTGAAGTACCAAGGTCAGCCACCAGGAGGCCCATATTTGACCTATTAATTAGTATCTGTTTTGCTTTGTTTAGGTACAACATTCTGCCCCTCAGTGGCGAGACTGCCGCTGACATCCCGATCGGAGAGACTCTGATCGAACATGACGTGATCATCCTGACGGCGCAGGTGTTGGAGAACGCCCTGAGGGACGGACTCATCACGCTGGACACCTTCTCCATGCTCATCTTTGACGAGTGTCACCACTGCCAGAAGAACGACCCGTACAACGCCATCATGACCAGGTACATCAAGCAGAAGTGGGAGGAGAAGAGCGGCACCAGGCTGCCACAGGTAAGACATCCCTATCAGAGATGGCATGTTTCACCCCCTTGAACATGATATTTTACAACAGTTTTATTACAAGAGACAGTCATATACAGGCTTGAGGTATACGTAGTGGTGCATCAAGTCCCTGCTCCCTGCACTGCATTGTCTGCGTGAAACAACTTCACACTGTTTTTCTGACAACTTTTTAGTGTCACTGACCTGAAAAGTCTGACTGTTCCCAAAATCATATCTAGTTGCTTAATTGAGTAACTGTTTTTGACGTATCTTATTACCTGGGTGTCTAACCTTCACTATCTGCATTTTACCATTCTGTAATCTAATAAAAGCAGAACAAAAATATGCATCTTGCAATGTCGCAATGGAAAAGTATAACATAGTATCCTTTACATCACCTGACATGACACGACGTAAGCTTAACATTTCGATCAAAATAGAAAAATGGCATTACTCACACTTTTATCAACCAATAAAAACACTTTTATCAACCAATAATATTCATTTCATGTTGCCAGGTGTCCAGTCTATTGTGGTTGGGTGTGTTTACTTCGGGGCTTCAGCTGAGATCTTTACTGACCGTTTTGCAAAATCAAAGTCCTGGCGTACAAAACTCAAAAACTCTGGTATGATACTCCCACCGGGCTGCTGAAGAGAGCCCGGCCCCAACCACAACAAGAGACTGGACACCAGGCTACCTTTAATGGGGATTTGCACTACATGTATGTTGCTTATAGATCATCGGCCTGACCGCGTCTTTGGGTACGGGGAAGGCGAAGAGTCTGGAGGACACCGTGGAACATATCCTGAAGGCGTGCGCCAACCTGGACGCAGAGTGGATCTCCCAGGTAGTAGAGCACAAAGATGAACTACTGGAATATAACCAGAAACCAGACGAAGGTAAACTTGCCTCTCATATTCTGTGTATCATTGCACTATCGATCTGAGAGATAGCTTTTACTCAAACAGTGCAAAATGTTCTTTTATATATTAGATAGCCGTAACCCACTAAGGCGTATCAAGACATGTACTCGTACAAGTAGTCTTTCATGTAAACATTAACGATGAATATAGCAATACGAAATTTGATCCCTTACCATCATCACAAATATTTCAGCGTGTCAGGAAAGCATGTCCAAGATAATGTACAGTATTTGTCAAAAAACACCAACAATGGACCAGGATACGTACAGAGTACAATAATTTACTCCTCAGAATCTGCAGTTAACACTACTACAGTGTAGACCTTATTCCAATGTCACTTCTTGTATTTCAGAAGTGAAGGCTGTAAATGGACGGAGCGAAGATCCATTTGCAAATGTGATTAACAAAATCATGGCGGACATTGAAAAAACCCTGGCTATAAAAGGTGAGGTATAGGATATTATGATGGCTTGCTTTTTTACTGCCATTGCTATATATGACTGCGTGGTAACTTATTTTGTTCTCTTCTTTCAATTCGTATTTTTGAAATGGCACTGCGGCGTGTTAATGTCAACATGTATTTAAAACGAGAAGCCATATTTATGTACATAGAAAAGAAGTATTGGATACGTGTAGTAAAAGTGTATGCTACATGGTCCCGTGCTCATCTTTTTCACAGCATCAAAGCATCTGACGCCAGAAGATCTGAAACCACCACGGCAAAGAGAAAGTCAGTCTTATGAACAGTGGGTGGTGACCTTAGCAAGGAATGGTGCAACACTGAAGGATGATCCTACTAGCCGAGTCATTCACGCCGCTACAAACCACCTCAGAGTAAGTTTCATCCTTCTCTAACCTCCTAGGTTTCACTATGTCATGGAAGTCGGCGTGTTCAACCAACAAATATGAAAAGTTGTGACGTGGCAGTCAATCAGAGAATCATCAGAGACTATCATTCAGAGAATATCACTCATCTATCATGTACTTTTAGAACACCCAAAAAGTCCCCAGGATGGGTTATTTAGTACCTAAAATACAGTCACAAGTATGGGACAATTTTGAAGTACATGTACACTACATTAGCCTCCTTCGCAGTCTTGTTGGGCGTCGGCGTTTCGCGAAACCTCTCCGTGGCAAAAACTCCCTCGGCAGCAAATCGTCCCTCGCGGCCGCATATTACTCGCGTCTCTCAGAGAAAAAATAACGCAGACGCCCAACAAGACTGCGAAGGAGGCTACACTACATAAGATTTCACTTCACTCCTCAAAGGGCCCAAATATATTGTACAGAGACGTTTAGAATATACGACATGCTATGTCCACTGCAGAAATACAAGGATGCTCTTGCCATCAACGCCGACGCGCGGACCAAGGACGCCCTGCAGTACCTGGATAGGTTCGTGACTTGTCTGCCAAAGGAAGGGTTTGACAGCACTGATAAAGATCTGGTGAAGCACTTCACAGGTATGCTGGGCCCTCCATGGTTTGTTTAGATGAATCAGTCTATGAATTCTACTGCGCATATATTCTAAGGCCACAGCAAGTAAATTTTATGGATGACATCCTTCGCAGACTCCAAATCTAATGCGAGCGGGCGAAAAAAAATAAGACAGGCCGAAAAAACAAGTTTCCTACATTTTAAAATTTTGACTCAATCATCGTACAAATGGTTTTGATTCAGTGGGAACATCACATATACACAGCCAGCATCACACATCACTGCATTAAAGTAAGAAACAAAACATTAAATCAGATCCTTTTCTTGTCTCCTCTTCATAATTATCTGCCATACACCTTCCGGCATTGCTACAGACAGTTTTGCCCATTTTCGGCATATTCACCACTGTCAGAAGGCAACAAAATGTTTTCTTTTTTTTCAAAATCAGGCGAAAATTAATGCGAGCGCTGATGTCATCCATAAAAACTACTTGCTGTGGCCTAATGGGAAACATGGCACAATAAATGAAAACCAGCATGCTTGCCGTCGATCAACTGGCCATCTGTACCGGGAATTACAGAAAAAGTCACATACAAAATACAACGATTTGTAAATATGTGTTATGCTTATTCGAAGGTAAATACCATTAATTCATAATTTGACTTGTACTTGTATCACTGTTGGCAGAGACAAGAGGTGAGCTACAGGAATATGCTGCAGATTCAAAGTACTCCAACCCGAAGCTGGACCAGCTGAAGTACATGATCCTCCAGGCGTACGCAGAGAAGCCTGACTCCCGCTGCCTGCTGTTCTGTAAGACCCGTGCTCTCACCATCGCCCTGCTCACGTGGATGCAGGAGGACGAGGCCCTCCGCGAGCTCAACCCGGGAAGGCTCGTCGGTGCTGGAGCGAGAGAGAGCACCGAGGGTGACAAAACTTTGATTACAGTATTCCTTTTCATAGCTCGTAAATTGTGTCTTTTCACATGATCATGATTTTGTACATATGTCAATGAGATTCCACGGTAACTTTTTTCCATTCAGAAATGTGCTTTTAACAGTCTAACAGAAGGTAAAGCTATCTGTCGTGAATTTTGATTGCAAGAAGCTATAAAAAGGACTCCCCTTACGGTATATTAAGCTCATATAACCCATATATGGCCTCATCATCATTATATGGCGTGCTGTTTGTTAAACATGTTTTCATACCATCAGGAATCTGTCAGCAGAATGCTTCGATGACTTCCTAAGGTTGCAAAGCTTCTAAAAAACGGACCATATATAAATCTTCCACCATCAACCTCTGCTTGGAGAGTAGTATAGGTTGGCTTTTAGGTCGTATGAATATGTTTGTGAAGTTTATCCGTTCGGTGTTGGGCGCGTGACTGGCGCAGCTACAGTCACAAGCTGTGTTTTGCTAGCCTGGTTATCAAACCTATTATAGCTCCCGAGTCATACATCCTCTCCGCAAATAGTCCTACATCCTCTATTTGCGGACAGGATGTAGGACTCGGGAGCTATAAAAGGTTTGGTAACCAGGCTAGTGTTTTGCCTCCTTTAGCACATTATACCTGTTGACTGCAGGCATGACCCAAAATCAGCAGGTTGAGCTGCTGGAGCTGTTTGTCACTGGAGGTCACAAGATCGTCATCTCAACCTCCGTGGCAGAGGAAGGCATAGACATCGCCAACTGCAACTTCGTGTTCCGCTATGACTATGTCGGAAACGAGATAGGGAAGGTGCAGACCAGAGGTAAGTCAAGGTTACTACATGTAAATTAAAATTCTTTCTGACATCAACATGTAAAAACGTCGGGAAAAGGTGCCAAACAAGTTAGTAGTAAAACCTGTTAACACTTGAAGGCTGATAAGATATACCATTCGCACTTATCATTCCTGCACTTTAAACAAAAGATAACAGATGGTCATAATTAAGGGGTTATATGTCATTCGGTGGTTCAATCACATGTTCAATGACCAAGCCTTATGACGTATAGACCTAGGAACAGGCAAACTATTACCACGGTGGTCAAATCTGGGCTGCAAAGTTCCCACATTTCATAGAACCCGAACTGTGTTCGATCGTGTTCGATCTGGGCAATTCGAATCGAACCCGCGTTCCATTTCGGGGTCACCTGCGGTCATTTACAATAAAGCGGCAAAACAAGCCCTTCTGCCTGAGTGCCTCGCAATAGATAAAAAACAACACTTTTCTATAGATAAGAACAGTTTTCAGGACAGTACATGTCCGCTATAATTTTTGGTGGGTATGTAACATGTAGCGAAGGTACTGTCGTATCCTTGGGTGACCTTGAATACTTAAATGATTCTTTACGCCTGTATGAATAACACAAGGCAGACTTTCTGGCGATATGACATGTCTGCAAAACTCGAGCAAACCTGGAAACATGGAGAGTCAAACATACACCATTTACGGCACAAAATGACTGTAACGGTTGTCCCGAAAATCGTGTTTTAGGGATTTTTGAAAAATGGCCTCAATTTTGAATTATGGGTAATTTAGTGAGAAAAATGTCAAAAAATGCCTTTTTTTTCACCAATATGTCGACAAAAACTAGACTTAAAATCAGAAATTAAAAAATCCCTAAAACACGATTTTTGATCTTATTCCTAGTCTGCGAAAAATATAAAAATCGGGGATCTGGGGTAATATACGTAGCCAGGTTTGAACGATGTTTGCCTAAAAACGTGACATGACTTGTGCTCGGAAACCCGAAAATAATCGTCTTTCTGAGCGAAATTTTTAAAAATCAGTGATTTAATATAAAAAGCTAACATTCAAAGGATGTTAAGACGATAATTTCATTTTAATTTGACGAAATTTACCCCTAAATATTATTTGTTTATTTTCAAATATTTTACGGGTAGTCCAAAACAGGCCAAAATTGCGTCTTGTAACCCGATACCTTTTCGAACGCGCATAGCAATGGGAAAGAATGCCGTAGTGACAGACCGCCGTGTACCATTATTATGATACGCATTTTTGCCATCCACGCTTCTTCCAACAAGCAAAAAGTATATCTGCGTCCGCGTTAGGTGCTTCCAGCCCTTCCACTAGTGCCTCTCAGGGCATCCCACTTGAAGACAATACAGTATTGCGTCAAAGTCTTCTGCTTGGAGATGAAATTGCACATCCATTATGACGTGATCTCTCTGCAAAATATGACAGGCACACTTTTAAAAGATGCCTTTTGACAAAGTCCGTTTGAACGTTCTCCAACCTTTTTCGATCTGACGTCATCCGAACTGAAAGGTCGTTGGTGATTGGTCGCGTTGGTAATGGATTTAAATTTTTGTATCGGTACGTTGATGAAGGTTAGACATCCAGGTAATACGATATGCCAAAAAGTAGTTACTCAAGCAACTGGATATGATTTTTTTCCAAAATCATATCCAGTTGCTTGAGGTACTAAGTACTTGGGACATCCACCAGTTTATTAGTCATTTTGTACATCATGCATAGTCTGGACATCTTTCTTCTGTCTTCCAGTGAGGCCCACTGTAGGTTTCTTTTCATTTCCGTGACACTAGCACCTCTTTCATACTTGTTCATACAGAATCTTGCAGCTTGATTCTGTACCCTTTCCAATTTGTCTTTGTCTTTCTTTGTATATGGATCCCATACTGTCGCGGCATATTCTAGGTTCGGTCTTACAAGTGACGTGTATGCAAGTGATTTTACTCTAGTTGGACATGCCCACAGATTACGTTTAATCACTCCCAATGTCTGTTTCACCTTAGTTGTGATATTATTAACATGTGCACCCCACTTCAGACCGCTTGTCAGCGTGACGCCCAGATACGGATGGGTTTTTGTGGTTGCTAAAGCCTGACCACAAAACTGGTAGCTAGTTGCATGTGGTGTTCGTTTAATTTGTTTGTTATGTGCATAATGTAGCATTTTTCGGGATTAAACTGCATTAGACATTAACATGTAACCAGTATAACATGTCTGTTTGCTCATCGTCATCTGGCTATAGATGATAATTCTTATTTCCTTCTGGACAGGGCGTGGTCGTGCTGAAGGCAGCAAGTCTGTGCTTATCGCAGGAAGAGAAGGTGGAAATATCGAGAAAGAAAAGGTACAATGGCTATCACTGCTGAAAATTCCATCTTAAGGCATACCTTGAAGTATGCGTAAAGGTCCTGTTCCTTCAATCGAGTAGAAAAACTAACCCTTACGCAAGATTAAAGGTACATGTATGCCTATAGATCGGTTCTTGAGCAGTCACCTCAGTTGGCTTAAATAGAAATTGTTTCCATTGTTTCTAAAAGCTTCGTTGGCAAAGAAATAAAGAAACGCTGCTATTGCAGATACGAAAGTTACGTCATAAGACTTTCATTTCTCATTTTCATTATTTTTGGGACACAAATTGAAAATATTTGATACTTCACAAGGATGAGGTATTCGCTCATGAACCGTACGAACTGTGTAACGAAATGTTTCAAATAACTTTCAATATATTTCAATTCCAGTTGAACACTATTCGGGAGAATTTGATGGAGAAGGCTATGCTCCATGTTTATGACATGCAGAGGGAAAAGCACGACGACTTCATGAAGGAGGTCCGACGTCTGCAGTTGAAGTCCAAGATGGACAGAGATATGGCACTGATGATGAAGCCGGAGGGGAAAGCCAAGTAGGTTCTAGCATGCATCGTATAGTATTATACAAGCATCTTAGATTCTTCAAAATTAATCAGCCAAAACGGCTGCAATTTGGTAAATAAAAAAACTTCATGTTCAAATATACAGAGTCGCATGGGTACAGAACATTGAGTATAAGTATATACATTACAAATATATGAACATATAAGAGTGTAAATAAATGTCTAATTTCTATTCTTTTCGGCTTCATCTCGCTTGGTAGTGATTGTATGGATATATGCGGCTGTGAGATAACTTAGAGTAGGTTTATCAAAAGTTAAAAGGAATACACATTTCTCTTTACTAGTCAAATAACTTAAGTGGGGAAATATACTTAATACATGGCTAAAAAATGAGTCTATCTCTACTATACAAGGGGCAATCTATTGTGAAATGTATTTCGTCTTCTATTTGGCCTAAACTACAGAATTGACAGGTTCTTTGCTCTAGAGGAGTGCGGTTATGTCTTCCTGATTCGATCCGTAATTTGTGACAACTGATTCTTAGTTTTGTAATGGAGGACCTGTGACGTATGTTCGCTAAGTTGAGATACTTTTCTTCGTTATAGGAAAGTTTTAATAATCTGTATAGGCGTAGTTTGTTATTAGCATTCACAGCTTTGCTATCATTGTGAATCTCGGATAGGAATGTTTGAAAGTCTCATCGGCTAACAAGCTATTAAAATATCTTCTCTGCGCAGACTGTGCGCACTTTTGTACATGTCCAGGACGTATCAGAAGGTTACACGACTTCTGACAACTAAGATACATCCTGCCTCCTTTGATTGTGTCGTCCCAATGTTATACCTTTTTTTAGCTCACCGTGAGTGAGCAGTGTGAATATATTCTGCACAATTTCATGACCTCTGACCTCTCAGACATCTATTACAAAATAGTTTTTTTTGCTAATTGTATTGTGTAATATTATGATTGATGGCTGTATAGTGTAATATTGCTGTAATAATTGCTGTAATAATTGATGCTTAAAATTTACTATGTTGATAAGTTTTTCTGTAGCATAATGTCAATGATAGCAATAGAACGTAAATGTAAATAAAAGTTTTTTATGTTGTATAGGACTCCAGGAAGAATAGTGATGTACATTTAATCACTAATGGGAGATTCCTAAATAAACAAACAAACAAACAAACAAACAAAATTTATTTTGTGCCACAGGAAAGTCAGTGGACAGGGGATGAAGCTGCTCTGTGTGAAGTGCAAGGGGTTCGCCTGCAATGACAGCGACTTCCGCAAGATCGAGGAGAATCATCACGTGGTGGTGGACAAGGCATTCCTCAAACGGATCATCATCACACCTCACCAACCAAAGAAGATTGACGACTGGGAAAGGAACGGAAAAGTATGGTGCAAGTAAGAACCATTCATCAGTCTTTATTTGACATTTATTAAATTAAAAGTATTAAATTTGTGTTATTGTTTGTTTTATTTTTTGGCTTTAGAAATACGCGCCAGCCGTTATTATGTTTCAATCAAAAGTCTCAGCGAGACACTTTGTTGCCATACATTGTTCCATATCACACTCTACATAAGACAGACGACACACAAACACACACACACACACACACACACATACATACACACACACATACACACACATACGCTCACGGACACCCTTCACACACACACACACACACACACACACACATACACACACGCGCGCGCACACACACACGCACACACACACACACGCACGTACACACACACACGCATGCACACACACACGCACACACGCACACACATACACACACACATGCACACACACGCACACACACACACACGCACAAACAAACACACACACGCACAAACACACACACACAAACACACACACAGAGGCACACATAGACACACACACTGTGACATACACACACAAACACACACACACACACACACACACACACACACACACACACACACACACACACACATACACACACAACACACACACACACACTCACACACACACACACACACACACACACACACACATACATACACACACACACATACACGCATGCACGCACACGTGCACGCCC